AAAACTCTGCAGTTTTGTTACTAGAGATTGTGCCATTTATTTTGCTCCTATTTAAAGAAACAATCAACACTTTCAAAACATGCATCCAAGAATCACTTCTTCCCAAAAGAACAATTCTAACAAATTATGTACAGCTTGCTAAATTAGCCCAGTCTCTGTGTGAATTGCATTTCATCTTGATATTGGCTGAGCTTGTTTTGTCTGTTTTCACTTTAATTAGAAATATGAGAAGGAATCAAGCTGCTCAAATGCCTCTTTCCATCCAGAAAACAATTCCTACAGGGTGCAGGCATGCACTGTGGGGCTACTGAGCCACTTAAGAACATAAGTAAGAGATAGACCAGCTCTGGTGGGAAAGTTGTCTCCTCTGAGTATTCAGTTCTTTGGCTTTATAGGACAAAGCTCAGGGGAATTTGCCTCATGATACTTTCCATGGTTCCATTCACAGAAGTCTCAGAGAGAGTGAATTCAACAAAGTGGAAATAAAATTAAATATCTTGTAAGAATTTCAGCAAAACTTGGAGACTAAATAACAACTTACTTAGAGGGGACTCAAAGTAGTCAGTGATTTAATTATGTCAGATTCATGATTCATTTAACAAATATATTCAGGATAATTACAGTATCATCATAAATAACCTGTGTAGCTGGCATATAGCAAATGTATCTTGCATAGAGGTTTGCTTTATTTTTGAATTCTCTGCTAATTACAATTCAGTGGTAAATGATACAGAAGACCAGACAACATATTTTATTTTATCATCATCTATATTTTATCACTTACATATTTTATCATTTCTGTAACAAAAAGACACTTTCGAACTCAGAAATAAAAGTCAGGCATTTGAATCCACTGCCGGAAGATTTGTTGCTTTCCACTACACATTAGGGACTCTTAAAATCTTCAAGGTGTAACAGTTATTTTCTCTAGGGATTTTTTAAATATGCAGCACATTGCTGCTCTTAAATGCTCTCATGTATGCTTCTTTTTTTCATGTATGCTTCTTACAACTGAAATTTCCACTTGGAAGTCTTGTCCTTTGAAGTCTCATCATAAGAAAATTGCAAATGAATTGATTTGCAATGTAACCTCAATAAAATTATCATACACTGATGCTTTGGATAAGTACATTTTTTTCAGCTAGTTTTTTGGGGGACTTTTTTCGGCTTTGTGTAGACTGCTTTAGCATTTAGAAACACTTAGATTTAGAAACATTTAGATTCTGAAGGTTGTGGCTTCAAATCCTGGCCACATAAGTTTCATGTTTTGTGTTTTTGTCAAGATCCTTAAACTCTCAGTGTATCACTAATCCTACTTATTACAGTGAACAAATCATCAGTCTGCAAGGGCAAATCAGAAGATTAAATGAATTAATGCACATCTGTAAAATGAATGTCCACAGACTAGCACCAAACACACTACAGCTCTTATAAAATATTAATTATAGCCAGGCAATGAGAACATCCCTGAAATCTCAGCTACTCCAAAGATAAAGTCAGGAGGAATGAGAATTTGAAGCCAAACTGGAAAAGTTAAGGACACAACCTCAAAATCAAAACAAAGTAAAAATTAAATTGCTGAGCATATGACTCATATGATAAGAGTGCTTGGCCAGCAAGTGCAAGACTGTGAGTTCGGATCCCAATATGTAAAAACAAAGTCATCAATCCATCTGTACTGACTTAGAGGTAGTTATTTTAAGTTATCTGTGCAAAAGCTATTTACACAAGCATGTTTACTGTAGCTACATATAAGTATTTGACATGCAGTGTAATTTGGTTTTGAGTCTAGATATTATGCAATATTTCAAGACATGGAAAAATTCTGTTGCTTTTTGCTCAAGTGTTTTCTAAGAGTAACTACATTATTGAATATTCTGTCCATTTCTTTCATATACTTGGAAATCAAGAACTCACCAATGGTTTCAAACACATTTGCTTTTAACTTGACTTTTATTATACATATTATATATTGTGTATTGTATATATCCATATCTAGATATGGAGATAATAAAAATCAAGAAGCTATTATAAAATCTCTCATATTAGTAAACACTTGGAATCTGGTTAGTGTCTTATGTGAAAACATTATCTAGCATAAGGAATCATTGACAGTATCTTTTAATGTCTACTTGACATTCCTAGTTATGGAAGAAATCTTTTTTGCTTTTATGGTAATTGGTGGTATGGAGAAAGACATTGCTAGATATTACTGAGTTAATTCATGTATATGGTATGCCACTGGTCTACAGAACTTCAGGAAAATTCTCCTAACACCCTTTGATTGGCTCTCAAACAAATCCAAATTAAGAAACTACAGTTTTCTTAAATATAAAGCACACCCACCTAATTCTTTGCTCATTTGTTAAGGAGACTTTCAAATAAGAGGTCCACTGTATACATTTGTTTTTTTGGTCAGTCATGGGGCCTGAACTCTGGGCCTGGATGCTGTCCCTCAGCTCTTCAGCTCAAGACTAGCGCTCTACCACTTGAGCCATAGCACCACTTCTGGCTTTTTCTGCTTATGTGGTGCTGAGGAGTTGAACCCAGGGCCTCATGCATGCAAGGCAAGCACTCTCTGAAGAGCCACATTCCCAGCCCTAGTGTATACATTTTACAGTGAATGATTTGGTATTGAGATAAAAACAAAGTGGAAAATGATCCCTGCTAATAAGTAGCAAAAAGAAAAGCAGAAGGAGATAGAACTGACCAAGAAATAATGACAGGATGATAAGCCCAGTTAGGAAAGGTAAGATCCCTCACTGAAGGCAGTTGGCTAATGGGAAGAGGTTTAAGGTTTTGGTTTTTTTGAAATAAGTTTTTATTGTGAAAATACTGTACAGAGGGGTTATAATCACATGAGCAACAAGGTAATGAGTACATTTCTTATCAAGCATTGTTGCCTCCTCCTTTGTTTTTTCTCTCTCATTCCTTCCCTCCCATCTCCACAAGTACATTCCTCCCTCGCTCCCCACTCCTGCCTAAATTGTAAAGTTCATTTTTTGACATAGCATCTTGTGCATCTCATTGTTGCAATGGGTCCACCTGTATCCCTATTTAAACAATTTGTTTTTTCCCTTCTGCTCCCCAAATTATACCAACATCAAATACAGTGAAAACAGGGGTTTGGTTTACGGGTTTTATCTGTGAGTCTTTCTTTTTTTCTTAGATAAATTTGAAAAGACACAAAGTTCTAAGATAGATGGCTTTATACTACCACTTGCCAGTTCTTTCAGTTAGACCCTAATTTGTCTTTTCTGTATAATTGGATAATATTAGATTGTAACAGTACAAGTAAAATCCTTGCAAGCACTTTTGACTCTAAGACTAAAGTTATTAAGGAAATGTTACATAATTAAAAACAGCCACAAGGTGTTCTTCTGACTGAACTGTTCAGGACAGACTGCAAAGTTTCTGAGAATAGAGGTGAGGCCGAACGAGGCAGTTACCACAGTAGCCCCTTTCTCCCTCAAGTCTATAATCCATCATCATTCAAACTGGAATATTCCTCACACAGTGTCTACATCTATCTCCTATCTCTAAGCTGAAACCAATGGCTAAATTAGATTTCATGACAAATTCTCAGGTTTTAAATCTGGACCTTCAAGATCTCTGCTTCCAAAAGTGCTGACAGTTCATTTGACCTCAATCATTGCTGACAAAGTTCTTTATTCATATTTGGGGTGAAATTAATGACTTTGAGTTACATTGTAAAATATGAGTTAATACTCACTACAAATGGAAAACTTCTTTGGGTTCAAATTCTCAGCATAATAAATCAGGAGCCCTATTACTACATTTAACCTTTAATGCGTCTTTCCTTAAAACAGACATTTAAATGTAAAATCTAGCATTTGCATTTATTGTAGTAATTTATGATGGTCACTCTTTGTAACGCGAAAGTCTTTGAGTTCATTTTAAAAAAAGACATGAATTTCAATGACAGCCAATATCTTCATCATCAGCAATGATTTCCCATAGTTTCTCTCCAGAACTTTCTTGTATCAGAAAGAAAAAACCATGTGCTATCTAGATTGTATTGCCCAAAATTCTAATAAGAAGCAAGAAATATAGAAGTAAAAGGTAAATATTTCATATATACTTATTTCAGGTAAATAACATTTTCCCTTCAATTGAAATTTTATCTTTTAAGGTTGGGCAATTGTGCAGAAAAAAATGTATTCTTTTATTTGAAAGAAATCAAAGTTATATGTGTCAAAAATTCTAGTAACTAGAAGTATGTCAGGAACTGGAACAATTGATATGATAAAACAAGAAATAAATGATGTTCGGTTTCTGATCTTATATTCTGCACTAGACTACAAAATCAGTTACTTATTTTTCATGAGCAACCATCATTTCTCTCTTAATCAAATTTGTGTCCAATATAAAAATGATCAGGAGCTCTTATAAATCCTGCCAGCTTTGTCACCTTCATCAATCTTCTGGAATTTTTTCTGCTTGAAATTCCTTAAAACCTGACTGTGCCTAATCATTTTATAGTGTCTTGAAGAGAATGAATGAATATCTCCTTTCTGCTTTGTTTAGGAATATTTTAGAAATGTAAGTGAACAAAAAATATTTAGAAATGTAAGTGAACAAAAAATGGCTACCCTATCGTGGAGATTGTATCCCAACTGCAAAAACAGCAACCATATCTGCTTAAAACCTGTTTTTGCTGTTTGATTGACTTCTTAGAAGAAGCTGGAAGACAAAGATAACCTAATCTAAACAAGTGGTTGGGAGGATGGGGAAGAGGCTTTAGGGGGGAAAAAAAGTTTAATTCTCTGGTAATTTGCATTGTAATTCATGAGATGCCATTAAGAATTGGAGAGATACATGTGCATAATATGAGTGTACTTTTATAGAAGCAGGTTGGAAAATGAAGTTTCTATTAATAAAAAAACAGATAATTCAGCTACCACAGCTGGAAATCTCTAACTGCAGCACATATTTCTGTAATTGCTATAATCTTTGTGTGTTCTCTTGCTCTTTTGCAGGCAGACCAGTAATGATTGTGGTAGAATATATGGAAAATGGATCCTTAGACTCCTTTTTGCGGGTGAGGTGCCCTTTTCTGAAGGCATTTAAATAAGCTATTCTGGATTCTGTATTTGAAATCAGTTATCATAAATTAATTTTTGCATAACATTGTGTATTTCTGTGAAGTATTGCAGCATTTTCTCCAGGGTGCATGTCTGGGATCCTGTGATACATTAGAGTATTATTAATGGGGGATAGGATATATGCTTAAAATATAATTGATTTGTCCTATAATTTCTCGTACCACATTAATATATGTGTGTACACATACATTCCAAATAGTGCCCTCATAATGAATGAAATTAAATGAAATTCAATTGCCTCACACAGCCATTCATTTTGGGGGGTACTATTTTACAGTTTAGTGTGATGCTTTATGTTTTATGAAGCCTACACCTTAAATTTCAGTATATTTACCAACAGTATCTCAAGTTCATTTCAGAAAACTAATTCTGCCAACTCTTTTTCATGTCCATGAATAAAGATTTACTGATATTCAGTCATGCTATTAGGTATATAGTTGTCTGTAGTTGCTCAGTACTACTGTGGCAGAGTTGAGAGGTTATAATAGAATGCATGGTCTGGAAAGCCCCAAAATTCTGAATTCATCCTTTTTCATACAAAAGCTTGCAGATTCCTGGACAATAGGAAGTTAGTTTCTAAGTCTGACTGCACCCTAAGTTCCTACCAACTTTGACTCTCAAGTTTATTTGGCTGTAAACTTAATTTCTGACTACTCAGGAAAAAAGAGAATAAAACTCCCTTAGTGATAAACTTTTTGGATACCAATTTTATATCACCTTTGTATTTTTTCAGTTGGTGAGAGGGCTTAGACTCAGGGCCTGGGCACTTTCCTTGAACTCTTTCACTCAAGGCTAGTGCTCTACCACTTTGAGCCATAGCTACACTTCCAGTTTGCTAGTGGTTAATTGGAAATACTAGTCTCGTGGACTTTCCTGCCCAGGCTGTCTTTGAACCACAATCCTCATATCTTGGCTTCCTGAGTAGCTAGGATCAGGCTTGAGCTACCAGCACCTTGCAAATCAAACTTTTTAAGATTATTATAGAGTTGATATTCAGAGGGGTTACAGTGGCATGAATCAGGTAATGAGTAATGAATATAATTCTTTTGGACCATATCTCCCCAACCATCCCTATCTCCCAGTCTTTTCCTCCTGTCCCCATCTACAAGATATCCACATTATGTTCCACATAGTGTCTACTGAGTATCACTGCTGTATTTGTTCATCCTTGTTCTACTTTTTATGTGCCCTACAGTACCCTCCCCCCAAAACAAACTTACAACAAGACAAAGGGAAAAGGAAAAATAAACAGCTCCAATTGCAAATCAAAAATGTCTCTTGTTTCTTTTTCTTGCAGTTCATTTCATAGAATATTATTTTATATGATCTTCTATACATAGCTATTGAGCCTTTGTCTACCTCCTTTGGCCTCTGTATGTTAATGATCAATGTTCTAAATGATTGCTCATGTCCCAGTGTGTATGCATATATATATACATTCTATTACATTATAAAATAATATATTAAAATATTAATAAATTGTATATTATATAACATGTATATAATATATACTAATATGTATTATATATATATTGCTTATAATATATAATAATATATTATTGTTTTTTAATACAATGTGTTTATTTGTACATGTATAGGCACATTCTAGTTACCATAAATGAAGGAAACTATGCAGTCTATGTTTCTTTGGCTCTGGCTTACTTTTCTTAACATAATTTTCTAAGATTTTCTATTTCATTTTATTTTTAATTTTTTTATTTTTTAATTTTTATTTTTTTAAATTTTTTTATGGTGAAAATACTGTACAGAGGGGTTACAATTACATGGGCAAGATAGTGAGTACATTTCTTATCAAGCATTGTAGCCTCCTCTTTTGTTGTAAAGTTCGTTTTTGACATGACAACTTGTACTTCTCATTGTTGCAATGGGTCCATATTTTCTTGATGGACATCCAGGTTGATTCCACGTATTGGCTATGGTAAACAATACTGCAATGAATATTGTACTGGTAGCTTTAGTTTGGCCTGATTTGTGGTCCATCAGTTAAATGCCCAGGTGTGGGATTGCTGGATCATAGGGAAGCTCTATGTTTAGTCTTAAGGAACCTCCCTACTGCTTTCCAGAGTGGTTAAACAAGTTTACATTCTCACCAACTTTGGAGTATCATTTGGCCACATCCTACCAACATTTGTTATTATTAGTTTTACTGATAATGGCCATTCTAATTGGTGTGAGGTAGAATCTCAAAATATACCTAGAACTCAAAAGAATTAACCCTCTATCCCTCCCGCACAGTATAACCCCTGCTCTCGCTGTATTTCATGTCGGTATAATTTGTGGAGGGGAAGGGGAAAAACAAATCGTTTAAATAGGGATACAGGTGGACCCATTGCAACAATGGGATGTACAAGTCCTTATGTCAAAAAGGAACTTTACAACTTTGGTTGGGGGGGGGAGAGGATAGGGAGGAAGATGGGAAGGGATGGGAAGGGGAAACAAAGGAGGAGCCTACAATGCTTGATAAGAAATGTACTCATTATCGTGCCTATGTAATTGTAACCCCTCTGTACAGTATTTTCACAATAAAAAATAAAATAAAAATAAATTAACCCTCTGCAAAAAAGTAAACCTTCAAAAATTCCACAACCCAATCAATAAAGGAACTAAAAACTTAAAGAGAGACTTCTCAGAGAAGGAAAAAAGAATGCCCAATACACACATGAAAAAGTGTTCAACATCTCTAGCCATAAAAGAAATAATACTTTTTAAGTGACTTCTTTTTAAAAGAATACTTTATATAAAAATTATATGTTTTGTGATACAAACTAAGAAGGTGAAAATAGACCAAACACATATTTCAAATCATAGTCATATTTTAAAAGCTGTCATATGCTTGGAAGAACACAAAATTATCAATCCAGTAAATATTTTTCTTCTGTAGAAGGCCATACAATTGAATGACACTGTATTCTTGAAACTGTACCTTATAAGAGAAATGACTATTTTTCTGTATTAGGGAATGGATGGAATTCTGGAAATTGGGATGTTTTATCTTAAATGAAATGTTCTTTTGTCTCTTCATTTTCCCTCCACATTACTTGGACACGTTTCATTTGCATCTCACTTTCCCTCTTGCTTTTATTTTTACTTATTTTTCTGGATTCATGGCCTCTTCTTCCGTCTGTCCTCAGCATTTTGCAGTAATGATATATCTACACTGCAACTGGACTTGATACCCAGATCCAAGAAAAGAAGCTCAATTCAGCAAAATCTCTAGATAGTTATACAGCAGTACCACTTTCTTAGCACATACTTTCAACTGAATGTGCTACTTAAGGCAGAATGAAATTCATAGATGTTTGAGTCATGAACTGTTTGTTTTATTTATCGATTTCTGAATGTGTTATTTGGCCTTGTATTCATTTCACCTGTAAATGTTTTCATTTATTTTAAAATAATTTAGCAGAAGCTCCAATGGTACTTGAGAAAAATGGATACTTAAGCCTTCCATAATGTTTATTCATAAACACATTTTATCAAATACATATCAAAATGAAACACCATCTAATAATGTTTGGGAAAGGCTGGTTTTCTTTTTCTTTTCTTGTCTTGGTACCGACTGTACCAAGTCTGCCAAAGCAGACTATAATGACAAAAATACAGCAGATACTCAATAGAAATTGCTGCTGAACATCCATGAAAGTAACTGTGACAATCAAACTGAGATCTGTTAGTTTCAGGTACACTTTTTATTCAAATGAATGCTTAGGTAATTATACTATGTTGTGAGGAAACAGCAATATGTTAGAAATGAAAGATGCAAGAATCCTATTACTTGCTTTTGAATGGCATGTTTCAGGTCAGGGAAGATTGGTTTACACCTATAATCCAAGCTACATAGAAAACAGAGATTGAAAAAAAAATACAATTTGAAGCCAGTCAGGGAAATAGCTACCCCATCTCAAGAAAAATAAAAAAGCCTAGAGTGTTGTTATATGTCTATAATCCCACCTAAGTGAAAGTCATAGGTAGAACAATTATTGGCCAAAGCTCACTGTGGACAAAAATGCAAAATCCCCTCCCCGCAAAAAGCCGGGGATGGCTCAAGTGGTAGAACTCCTGCCTACCAAATAATTCTCTGAGTTCAAACACAGAACAGGTTTTTTAAGTAGTGTGTTTTATGATTTAATTTTTGTAAACATTTTCAGCTCTATGTATTATGTAGGTAAGATATTACAAGAGAGTCTGGTACAAAAATTACTTGTTTAATTGATGACAAAGCACTGTTCCTACTACTAGAGAATATGAACACCTATATTTTTGGTTCTGTCATGAGGTATTTGACCTTGGGTCTACCACATATTTCTCTCTATAGAAGCAGAATACAAAGATATACACCTCATTGCTAAAATTATTGAATAGACTAGAGCAAAGTCTGTGGAACAGTACCTGACACTTCATAAATCGCTGACTCGTAGCACCTGATTTCATATATTATGAGCTCTTTAATTGTGTACAACGTTTTCTTATAAGTCCACAACCATCTTTTCTGATGGCCTGTGGCTCTCTCTATATACAATTTCTCCTTTAAAAAATTTCATAATTAAAACTCAAATGGAAAATCGCATCAATGAAGAATAAAGTGAACATTTCCATCTTGGCCTTTCACAATATTCTTACTTTCCTTGGTCATCATATCCCTTTTATGCTAGAAACTCAAAGTGCCTTATAAACTTTATGCCAATACCAGGCACTCAACTCCCCATAGCAAGCAGAAATAAAATATCTAAATGTATATAGTCTATAAATTCTCAAAACTGGAGTCATTTTTCCAACTGCTGCTTTAGAATTTGATAATCACAGCTTCTGTGAGCACAGAGAGAAGAAAGTAGCTGAATGCATGGCATGGTGGGGGAGCCATCGATGGCTCATTAACAGCCTTCTGTGCTTACTGGAGGCAGTAAAGATTTCCCTG